CATACAATTCCTTAATCCAACCTTCACCAAAGAAAATCAAATGCACATACTATACTATCATGCCAGTCACAAATTTAGCCCAATTCGACCATTTACAAGAAAATAACTTCAGATATTCATGGCTCCCAAGCTAGGGTAGGTTCACAAGAAAGAAGAATGAGAGTATGAGAAGAGAAGAGAAGAGAACCCATAAGCCATACCTGAAACTCGTGGATTCAAAAATTGAAATGAGCAAGATTGTGAGTATTGAATTGTTTTGATCCTTTCCCTTTTTCGTTCTTAGTAGAGTTTATGCGTTCTCTTCTTCTCTGTTTTTTTTTCTTTATATTTTCTTTGTTTTTCTTATTTTTTTTCAAACGTGAATCTGTGCAGAGAGTGGGTTAGGGTTTATACCTGGCAGATATGCGGCGCTTAAGTTCATCGCATAACACAATATGCGATTGCATAAGTGTTATGCGGTGGACTTATGACTGGGCAGCCTAGATACACTTTGCGATGCACAATGCGATCTCAAAGTAGGTATGCGGGCTGCATAAATGAAAAATCTACCGCATAGTTGACAAATAAATTAGCCAAACTTTCTGCATGAGTCTGCGATGACTATGCGGTTCGCATAGTCATTATGCGACCGCATAGTTGTCACTCAATCTGGACCTCTCTTTCCTTCAGTTTCTTCAGCCCTAGGACCTTGTTCATGATATTTTGGGACCATCTGCACTCTAGCACACACGTCAACTTGCTAAATCTAATCTACGTAAATAATAAATAATAAAAAAAACTACAAATGAGTGTTACCACACATGGGTTGCCTCCCAAGAAGCGCTTGATTTAACGTCGCGGCACGACGCAGTAGACTCCTTTTGGATTATTCCTTGGTAGGAGCTGCTGTTAGACTATCCCTTAGATCAAATTGTTCTATCAAATGCCTTTCTCCTACGGTACCGAGGTAATGCTTGACTCGTTGTCCGTTCACCTTGAAAGTTTGAATCCCATCCTCTGACTCCAGTTCAATAGCGCAATAGGGAGACACACTCACAACTTTGAACGGGCCAGACCATTTGGACTTGAGTTTACCCGGAAATAACTTGAGTCTTGAATTGAAGATAAGACCAAGTCACTAGAATTGAACTCCTGCTTCAAGATCTTCTTATCATGGACAAACTTCATCCTCTCTTTGTACATGGCTACACTCTCATAGGCATGGAGACGGAATTCTTCCATCTCATTGAGTTGTGTCATCCTCAGGTTAGCAGCCTCGGCCCATTCAAGATTCAGCTTCTTCAATGCCCACATGGCTTTGTGTTCAAGTTCCACTGGCAACTGACAAGCTTTGCCAAAAACCAACCTATACGGTGAAGTGCCAATGCGGGTCTTAAATGCTGTGCGATATGCCCACAACGCATCATCTAGCTTCCTTAACCAGTCGGTCCTGTTTGCATTGACAGTTTTCGCTAGGATGTTTTTGATTTCTCTGTTCGAAACTTCAACCTGACCACTCGACTGAGGATGATAGGGTGTGGCCACCTTGTGCTTTACACCATATTTTTCAAGCAGCCCGGCGAGAGACCCATCATCACTTAGGATGGCCCTTGGAGTACCAAACCGTGTGAATATGTTCTTCTTCAAAAATGCGGTCACACTCCTTGCTTCATTGTTAGGTAAGGCGATTGCCTCGACCCTCGACCCATTTAGAGACGTAGTCCGTAGCCACCAAGATATAGGTCATGCCATACGCGCTCACGAAGGCCCATAAAGTCTATCCCCCACACATCAAAGATATCAACTTCTAATACAAAATTCATCGGCATCTCATGTCTTTTAGATATTGACCCTTATCTTTGACATTGGTCACATGCCTTGACCATTTGATTTGCGTCTTGGTAGATCGTTCGCCAATAGTAGCCACATTCAAGCACTTTTGCCGCTGTCCGATTTCCTCCATGATGACCCCCAACCGGAGAATCATGGCATGCCTTGAGAATTTTCATTACCTCATCTTCCAGAACACACCGCCGGATGATGTTGTCAGCACAAATACGAAACAAAAAGGGTTCCTCCCGATAGTAATGCCTACACTCCTGCAAGAACTTTTTCTTTTGATAATCTTCCAATTCATTGGGAACAAGGTCACTAACCAAGAAGTTAGCGATGTCGGCATACCAAGGAGCAAATATGTTAGACAATGCCAATATGTGTTCATCTGGAAAAGCATCATTGATTTCAAGGTCTCCTTTTGGTCTCCTTGCCTCTTCAAGCCTAGATAGGTGATCCACAACTTGATTTTCCATCCCCTTCTGATCCTTGACTTCAAAGTCAAACTCTTGCAACAAAAGGACCCACCGAATGAATCTTGGTTTGGCATACTTCTTCGCCATAAGATAAAGAAGAGCAACATGGTCGGTGTATACTATCACTTTGGACCCCAACAAATAAGCCCGAAATTTTTCAAAAGCATAGACAATGGCAAGAAGTCTTGCTCAGTCATAGTATAATTCATTTGAGCGCCATTGAGGGTCTTGCTTGCATAATAGACAGGGTGAAGAATCTTGTTATAACGTTGGCCAAGCACCGCCCCAATAGCTACACCACTAGCGTCACACATGAGTTCGAATGGAAGAGACCAATCGGGTGTGACAATAATAGGTGCCGTGGTGAGCTTTTCTTTCAATTCCTCAAAGGCTTTGAGGCACTTCTCATCAAATACGAACTTTGCATCTATCTCAAGGAGTTTGCACATGGGATTTGCAATTTTGGAGAAGTCCTTGATGAAACGCTTATAGAAGCCGGCATGCCCCAAAAAACTTCTGAAGTAGGTGGAGGAAGCTTGGAAATGATCTCGATCTTTGCCTGGTCAACTTATATGCCTTGTTTGGAAATTTTGTGGCCCAAAATAATGCCCTCGTCCACCATGAAGTGGCATTTCTCCCAATTTAGCACAAGGTTAGTTTCTTCGCATCTTTTGAGCACTTTTCTAAGGTTGTCAAGACAATGCTCAAAGGAATCACCCACGACAGAGAAATCATCCATGAATACCTCTAAGAAATCTTCCACCATGTCTAAGAATATTGACATCATGCACCTTTGGAAAGTAGCTGGAGCGTTGCATAGCCCAAATGGCATCTGGCTAAATGCAAACGTCCCATATGGACAAGTGAATGTTGTCTTTTCCTGATCTTCCAATGCAATATTGATTTGGTTGTAGCCGGAATATCCATCCAAGAAGCAGTAGAATGACCTTCCCGCTAGTCGATCAAACATTTGATCAATAAAAGGCATAGGGAAGTGGTCCTTGCACGTAACACTGTTTAGCTTCCAGTAGTCCATACAAACCCTCCATCCGGTCAATGTTCTTGTTGGGATGAGTTCATTTCTGTCGTTTTCAATCACGGTCATGCCTCCCTTTTTCGACACACATTGCACTGGACTCACCCAAGAACTATCGACAATGGGGTAGACTACCCCGATATCCAACCACTTGATGATTTCTTTCTTTACCATCTCCTACATGGAAGGGTTTAACCTTCGTTGATGCTCCACACTTGGTTTACTCTCATTTTCCAATTGTATCTTGTGTTCGCAAATTTCGGCGGGAATCCCCCGAATGTCCGGTATTGTCCACCCAATAGCTTGCCTATTCTCCCTCAAGACATTCAACAGTTGTTCTACCTGCACATCATTCAACGAAGAAGAAACGATTATCGGTAGAGTGTCATTAGAGCCAAGAAATTTATACCACAAGTGCGATGGAAGTGGTTTGAGCTCTAGTTGCGGCAGCTCAATAATTGAAGGCTTTGCGGGAGGAGTGACTCTATTCTCTAAGTCGAGAGAGAGTTTCTTTGGAGCATAAGTGTAGGACCCAAGCCCTTCCAATGCATTTACTGATTCCATGTACCCCTCCATATCTTCACCATCAAAATTTACCAAAATAGCCGCCAACGCCTCACCGAGGCATTGTTCTTCCATCTTCATTTCAACTGCATCTTCCACCTCTCAACAACATCAATCACCGAGATGCTTTAATATTCATGTGGCAGTTTCATACCCTTGCTTGCTTGGAATGTGACCTCTTCATCATTTACATGGAACTTGATCTCATTCCATTCCGAATCCATCAGTGCTCTTCCTGTAGCAAGAAATGGTCTCCCGAAGATGATAGGGATCTCTTTGTCAACTGCACAATCAAGGATAATGAAATCGGCGGGCAAATGGAACTCTCCCACTTTCACAAGCACATCATCAACAATTCCCACCGGTCTCTTTATGGAACGATATGCCATTTGCAACCTCATACTTGTAGGCCTCGGCATACCTAACCTCGCTTGCTTGTAAATAGCAAGAGGCATTAAATTGATGCTAGCCCCATTATCACAAAGAGCTCTTGCAAAATCACGCACCCCAATAGTGCATGGAATGGTGAAAGCTCTCGGGTTTTCTTTCTTTTGAACGGTGGTTGTTGCAATAATGGAACTAACCCGGTGAGTCACATTTACCACTTTATTCATGGTGGTTTTCTTCTTGGTGATCAAGTCTTTCAAATACTTAGCAAAACCCGGCATCTCTTGAAATGCTTCCACACATGGGATATTTACTGATAACTGCTTGAGAATGTCATAGAACTTTTCGAGCTTGCTATCATCAACCTTCCTAGAAAGTCTTTGAGGGAAAGGAGGAGTAGGTACAGGAATAGGTGGTAGAGTTTTTGGTGTCTCTTTTACCTTTTCCTTAACCTCTTCCAGGTTCACCTCTTGAACTTTCAACTCTTCCGGGACCTTTTTAGCTTCAACAACAATTGGCTCTTCAACTTGTGCCTCAACCTCTAGTTCGGACTCTTCCACTTCAACCACTTGTTCACTCTCTCCTTGAAGTACCTTCCCACTCCGAGTAGTAATTGCCATGCAACGAGAAGTTGGACCACTCCCACTACCCTTTGGGATCGCAATTGTGTCACTTGGAAGTGTCCCCTTTTGCTTTGGATTTTGTTCCCTAGAGAGATCTCTCATTTACATATCCAATTTTTGAATGGATGCGGTATGAGAACCGACAAGTTCGGTCATATTTCTTATTGAAGTGTCGGACCTTTCTTGATTTTGCAGTACTCGTTCAAGCATGGTTTCCAACTTGGAATCACTTGACGAACCTTGATTTGAATATTGCCCCTTTGGTGGAACATAAGGGTTTGAACTCTGATTTGAGAAGTTTTTATTGTTGTTGTTGTTATTCCAATTCCCTTGATTTGAGCTACCTTGGTCATTTCGCCACTGTTGGTTGCCTTGCCCTTGCGGTTAGGCCTCCATTGATTTTGTTGTCCTTGACCTTGGTATTGTTGCATTTGATAGCCTCCTTGAGAGTTGTTGACATAGTTTGCTTCCTCATAATCTTCATTTGATGTGGGTTGAAAATCTTCCACCACATTTACCTTCTTCGTTTGGCTTTCAGTGAACATCTTTGTCAACACATTGACATTGGTGGCTAGCCCTGCAATTACTTGATCTCTTTCTTGGTTCTCCTTAATCATGTTGGTCAAGGAGGGAGTACCATATGCAATTCCACCTGTGGTGTCCTCTGAGTGCCAAGCTTGGTTATGTTTTGCCATTTTGTCAAGGATTTGTGTGATCCTTGCAAATGTCTTATCCATAAAAGATCCATCAGCTGCATTCTTGGCTATAGATTGGTTCATAGCATCTAAACCCATGTAAAATTTCTCCAACAAGATAGAATCCGAAAAACCATGATTAGGTGACCTCACCAAATATAACTTGAATCGATCCCATGCCTCATGTAGATGTTCTCCCGGTAGTTGCTTGAAAAAGAAAATTTTATCCCGGAGCTCAGATTTCTTGCTTTGCGGGAACCATTTAGCTAAGAATGCTCGGACAAGTTCAGGCCAAGAATGAATGGAATTTGGTGGCAAATTTTGAAGCCATTTCCTTGCTTCCCCAGCCGGTGAGTACTTGAACACCCTCAACCTTAGGGCATCATCTGAGACGTTGTTCTGCTTGTGCATCGCGCACACACCCAGGAAGTTTCTAAGATGTTGTGTCGGATCATCAATAGTGGAATTCCTGAAAAACCCTTCCACTTTGAGCATTAGGATTAAACCATGTTCCACCTTGAAAGTGGCAGCGCCAACTATCGGAGGTATGCATTTGTATCCTCAATGTACTCATCTATGTCTGCAAAAGGATTTTCTTCTTCCTCATATTCAGCCATGTGTTCCTATCAACACCAAGCAAAACAAGCAAAGTGTGATGGAATAGAAGAAAACGGAAAGTAAAGCACACACTAATTAGTAATTTCAAAACCGTATTCCCCGGCGATGGCGCCAAAATTTGATACGCTCAAATTACACTTTTAATTAAATAGTGTAAGGCGGTCGGTGTCAAATATAATAAGCCAACGAGGTAGGGGTCGAATCCCACAGGGAATATGGTGTGTAAAGTTTACTTGAGTAGTGTGGAACTTCACTTAGGTCGTAATTCTATTCTGTTAACGTGACGAGAGAATGATATGATTGTGAATTAAAGAGATAACTAATTGTGATTATGAGAATGCAAATGATTTGATTAAGGAAACCAAGGTTGTATCCCCGTCAATGGAATGTAATGCTGTCGGTGTTAATGTGTGACGACCCGGCCCGTCGTCACGTGAGTTATGCCCCGTTTCCCCCATTTTTCTGCTTCCTTATGTTTTATTATAAGAGTCTTGAGTGAATGAGTCGATTTGGATCAGTTTCGGATGGAAATGAGACATATAGTCTCTTTAAGGAAGGTTTGTATTGGAAAAGTCAACCGGGTGTTGACTTGTGAGTTAGAGGGCTCGAATGTGATTTCCGGTGATTTGGTTAGCTTCGGGGGATGATTTGTGACTTAGGACTGTGATCAGAATTGATTTTGGAGGTCCGGTGTAGAATTAGGCTTGAAATGGTGAAGTTAATATTTTGGCGAATCCCGGTTGATAGGTGAGATTTTGATCCGAGGGTCGAAATGGGATTCCGAGAGTTTCTGTAGCTTCGTTAGGTGATTTTGGATGTGTGTGCAAAATTTCAGATCATTAGGAGGTGTTTTGGTCAGGTTTTTGATCAAATGCGTAATTCGGAAGTTTTAGAAGAACTTAGGCTTGAATCCGATGTAATTTGATAGTTTTTGTGTTAATTGTGGTGTTTTGATGATTGGAACAAGTTTGAATGATGTTTTAGGAAGGGGGTGCTCTTTTAGTTGAGGTCCCGGGGGCCTCAGGGTGATTTCAGATGGCCATTGGGATGAAATTTGGACTTATGAGATTGCTGAGTATCTGGCTTCTGGTATTTCCGCATCTGCGGAAAAGGAATCGCAGATGCGGTTGCGCAGGTGCGGAAGAAGACTCGCAGATGCAGTCATTTGGCCTGGATGGATGATTGCGCAGATGCGGAAGGGGAGCCGCATCTGCGAGACCGCAGATGCGCTGGAATAGTCGCTGGTGCGAAAACGTGAGGCCTTGGTGCTTCCGCAGAAGCGGACAAGTATCCGCAGAAGCGGGGTCCGCATATGCGGATAGGGGACCGCAGAAGCGGTCGTTGGTTTAATGAAGATTCGCAGAAGCGGAATTATAACCGCAGAAGCGGCAGCCGCAAGTGCGAAAGTGGAACCGCAGATGCGAAAATCACTGTTCTCAGAAGGGTTTTAAAGCTCATTTTGTTCCGCGAGCTTAAGTCCATTTTCACCATTTTTGATCGACCTTGAGAGCTCTTGGACGGAATTTGAAGGGGATTTCGACTAGGTGTGATTGGAGGTGAGTTCCTTGGCCTAAATACGTGATTTAATGGTAGAATTAACGTGGAAATTTGTGAAAATTCATCAAAAGAAGGTAAAGCTAGGGCTTGGGAAAATGGTATTTCAAAGTGGAATTTGAGGGGTCAAATGGACTCCGATTTTGGTAATTTTGATATGTATAGACTTGCGGCGAGATAAGGAATCGGATGATGTTAATTTTCTGAATTTTCGAGAAGTGGGCCCAGGGCTCGGGTTTTGCCAATTTCGTAAATTTCGATATTTTTCGAGTCTTTTCGATTGGGTTATGTTCCCTTAGCCTATTGTAACATATTCGTTGTGGTTTTGACCAGATTCGACGCGCAAGGAGGTCGATTTGCGAGGCAAGGGCATAGCAAGCTAGGATTTTGGCCGGCTTGAGGTGAGTAATGATAGTAAATGATATCCTGAGGGTTTGAAACCCCGAATTTTGCACAACGTAGTGCTATATTGAGGTGAAACACGCGCTTAATGGCGAGCGCGGGGTTGTTTACTACCGGGGATTGTGACTTGGTCCGTCCCGTTTGATATTTTATTGAGTATTTGATTGAGCTAATTTGGTTATCATCATGATTTGGGCTAGTTTCCATGTTTGGGGCCTCGTGCCGACTTGTAGAACCCTTAGGGGTATTATGACTGATTTTCCTCACTTTACTTAGTACAAATCACATCCTCAGTCATGTTTCTAATTGATTAAACAATGTGAACCGTTTTTATAAGTGTTAATCCTAAATGAGGGAAGATATGTGGGCTGAGATCCCTACCCTATACTATTGTGTTCTAAAATGACTGAGAGGGGTTGAGAACCCAATAGTTAGGATATTATATATATTATGGATCGGGCTGCACACCGCAGCAAATACTCATATGGATCGGGCTGCACGCCGTAGCAAATGTTTATGTGGATCGGGCTGCGCGCCGCAGCAATATTGCGCTTGGGCTGTAGGAGCCCCTCCGGAGTCTGCACCCCCACAGTGAGCGCGGGTACCCATAGGGATCGGGCTGCACGCCGCAGCGATGGATCGGGCTGCACGCTGCAGCGAGGTATGGATCGGGCTGCACGCCGTAGTGGTTATTATATAACACTTTTCTAAGAGTAATTTGAGTTACTGTACTGAGCGGTTGATACTGGGCCCGAGGGGCAGTTTTACTATATACCACTTATTAGTTGTTTTTACCTGATTTACCTGCCTTTAAAATGGAGATTTCACATGATTTTACGGATTTTACTGCTTTAAGTGATTTACTGCCTGATATAGAAGCGCCTTGTGCTGTTATGTGTTTTCTTATCTTCAGCTATTATTTATTATTATTACTCACTGGGTCGGAGTACTCACATTACTCCCTGCACCATGTGTGCAGATTCAGGCATAGCAGAGGCCGTTCCTGAGCACTGATATCCTTGTCCAGATCAGGCAGCGAGTTCGGAGCTTCGAGGTAGCTGTTGGCGTCCGCAGTCCCCTTGACTCCCCTACTTCATGTTATTTCAGTTATTCCTGACTTCTGTATCAGATATTCTGTTTGTAGACTTAAAGAAATTCTGTAGTAGCTCATGACTTGTGACACCCGGTTTGGGCTGTGTCGGGATGGTTTCTACTGTTATATTCCATATTCCCGCGAATTATTGTTATTAAATCATGCTTTAGAATTGTTTAATGGTAATTAACTGCATAAAAGAGGTGTTGGCATTGTTCTGGCTGGCCTTGTCTTCACGAGAGGCGCCATCGCGGCCGGGTTTGGGATTTGGGCCGTGACATAATGTGATATATTTCTAATGGAAGGTCCTTTGATATGCAAATGATTTCTAAATGACTACCCAGTATTTCCCAATGGTTGGGTAGTATTTTCCCCTTATGATTTTTTCCAAATATAAAAGAGTTGCAATTTAAGAACAACCAATTTATGCCAAGTAGAACCCACTTATTCCTAAGCGATCTATTAAACAAGATTTAAAGTCTTGAGTTCTTGATATTCAATTCTACCAAACCCTAACTCACTTTTCCAAGTAAAGAAAGAGTAAAATGGAATAGATTAATGTTTGCAACCACCAACCATAAATAAAGAACAAGAATTGAATAAATATCAACCAGCCATTATATATATATTCAATGTTAAATACCCATTAACATTACACCCATCTAGGGTCCACAACCTTAGTATTTAAAACTAGCTACTCATGCTAAAATACAAGAACAACGTATTTAATAAAGGCATAAAGCTTACAAAAGTGCAAGATTCCTTCTTCACAACCTTCAAAATAAATGGAGTATTCAATGCTCTCTGAGTAGGACCTTATTTCAGACTTGAATGCCCCACAAAAAACCCTAGTTATTCTCTTTATAGTGGACCAAAAGTCGTAGTCAAAATCGGACAAAAATACCCCTTCAGGTAGCTTATGCGATCGCATAATGGTCGCAGACCACTTATGCGGTCCGTATATCCTTCATTCCATCGCATAATTGGTGAGTCCCCAGTTCCTGCTTCAGCTGCATACCAATTATGCGGTCCGCATGTATGTTATGCGACCGCATATGCCATCGCATATTATGGTGAGGACTTTCTTCTACTGGAGTTATGCGACCATTATGCGGCTCACATAAGTGTTATGTGACCGCATAATTTCTTCTTCATTTGGCCAATTAGTCTGTCCCTGTTTGCGATTACCATTTGAAATATGCGGTCCACATGTGAATTATGCGGCCGCATACTTGTAGCATATCCATTCTTTTGCGACCTTTTGACTTCTTTTCTATGTTTTCGGGTCTTGAAGCTCATGCAATACAAAACAACCAAATTTGATCAGAATTAACTAAAAATGCATTAAAAGACGAGTTAAAATCTAAGCAATTGGTATTAATTGTGCCGAAATTCTACGGCACATCAAACTTCCAAATCTTTCAACTTCTAGAACTCGGGCTGAAACCTATCAAATTAATCCGGAATGATGTCAAACTTTGCAGACAAGTCCAAAATGACATAACGAAGCTGCTCCAACTCTCGGAATCACATTCTGACCCCGATATCACAAAAGTCAACTATGGGTCAAACTTCTCCATTTTCCAACTTTCGTCGAAATGCCTCAAATTACCCTACAGACCTTCAAATATGAATCCGGACGCACACCTAAATCAAAAATTACCATACAAAGCTGTTGAGATCATCCAAAATTCATTCCGGAGTTGTTTACATAAAAGTCAAATTCCAGTCAAATTCTCACCGC